TATTTACATTATTTAAATATATCAAAATGACATATTAATGATGAAATATATTTATTTTTCATTTTTAATCAACATAAAAACAAAATACTAAATAACAAGAATAGAAACAAAACATAAATAATGTATAAATAAAATAAGAAATAATGATAATAATAAAATAATGAATAAATAATGAAAAGAATAAGAGGAATATAATAAAAATAAAAATATATCATAATGATAAATAAAATATAATTTATAAAATAAAAATAACAAAATAAAAATAAAATAAAAAGATAGAGAGAAAAAACAAAATAATACCATAACATACATAAAATTATAGTAAGAATGAATTAATAATCAAATAACAAAAAATAATAATTAAAATATTTGATTTTTAGAGAATGGAGGAAATGTTAAAGATAAACAAAGATGTAGATTTATAATGAAATATAAAAGCTCTTAAATACTACAACATTTTATTATGACAATAAACACTGAACATCAACCACAAATAATACAATCATTACAGTACATTTTTCACTAAGAAGATTAACTTTAATAATAGACCAATATAATGAAAAAAGATTATAAAAATGAAAAGGGGATTGTGGGGTTAAATACCGAGGTAATTCATTAACAAGTAATACTCTTGTTATTGGTGTTTCATGCACAAATCTAGGACTAATCGTATAGTCATGTGCTTGTGGACTCTCAGTTTTAACATTTAATGTTTCTGCATTACTTACTTCTGCTCTACATTTATAATTAAGAATTGGGAGGGGGATTAGTTTTAAGATATTCAATGCATTTATTACTTGACTCTGGTGATTCTAATTCTATTAACGAATGGGGCATGTCAGGTCGAGGTGAGTTCATACAAATAATTCTTTGAATTTTACCAAATCTTATTACTGAATCATACAGGTCATTGCAGACAATTGCCTTTTTTATTGGTTGTTGAAAAGCAATAAATATGTGGGGTTTGAGTTTGGCATATTGTGGGTTATTATATTTAAGACTTTTTCTTTTAAGATTCTTTTAATACTTTTAATTCTTATTTTATAAGAACTCCTTTCATACAACACATCTTTTTCTATTAATCCATCCTTCTTTTCTCTGCTCTTTTTGAAAGTGTTAAAATAAAATGAAGTTTGTTTAATGGAGTTAATAAGAAGTTAAATGTATTGTTGTTAAATAAAAATGTGTTATTTTAGAAATATGAAAGAAAAGGAAGAGAGAAAAGAAACAATACTTTTAGAAGAAAGAATGAAAGAGAATATTCACTTGACTCATTTTCCTTTGATTCTTTCAAAGTAAAAAGAGTATTTTTGTTTGAAATCCAGTTTTAAGATAGAAGGAAACAGATAAAAGGTACATATGATTTATAAATTAATTTTAAATCACTTCTGTTATTAAGATGAAATCACAAAAACAATTTCATGATTGGATTATTAAAGAACCACTTGGTAGTGGAACATATGGTTTGTATTAATAAGTGGATTGGTTAAAAGATAAGATAATTTATAAGAATTAGGGAATGTATTTCGTTGTTTGAATATAAAAACAAATAAGAGTACTGCAATAAAAATCATTAATGGAGAAAGTAGTGCATTAAATGAAACTACTATTATTAAAAATCTACAAGGAAATGAAGGTATTATTCGATTTTTTGAATGTGGATATGAATTATATGGATATTGTTTAGTATTTGAATTACACATAATAAATCTTAATCAACTTCGATTAAATCAACCAACATCAAGATTCTCTTCACAAACATCTTTTAGATTATTATTTAAAATGATAAAAATTGTTGAATATATTCATTCAAAACAAATAATTCATTGTGATATAAAACCTGATAACTTTATGATATCTCAAGATGGAGATATTATTTTGATTGACTTTGGTTTATCAGAACATTATCAAGACTTTTCTTATCATCAGAAATCTTCAATTTGCATCTCCCAATCAACACTTAGGAAAGAAATATATTCCAATTGATGTTATTATTCTTTTATTTTATATTCTTTATCAAAACATTACAGGAGTGTTTAATCATTCTTTAATTCCATTATCTCTTGCATCATTATTTGAATCATCTATTTGTAATTCATCATGAAGATAATATTGATAAACAAGAACAATGTTATTCTTCTCAAGTTGTTCCAACAGAATTATCACAAAGTCTTTTAAAAATATTAAATCTACATTATCAAAAATTAATCCATTCTCATCTGTTATTTCAAGAATTAAATAAAGATACTTTTAATTTCTTTCTGTTTAATGAAAATAAAATTAAATTAAAATTGAATTGCTTTTCTTTGATTCATATCTCTTTTCTTCTTCAATAAATTTAAGACCAATACAACAGCACAAAATTGGATTAAAAACAAACAAATCCAAAAGAATGTATGTGTAGAAGCTTCATTATTTTTTATTGTATTTTTGTTAATGATATTGTTGTTGAAATTAAAATCTTAAGATCATTTGTTGTTGTTCCTGTAATTTCTTCTATAGCTCTTAATCTTTCCATAAATGTATCTACATCAACAAGAATATCACTTGTATCAATGATAAGTTCTTGACTCTTTACATTTCATTTAAATGTTTTGCTCCATTGACAATAATTTTCATTAAATTTGAATTCTCATCATTTAACTTATCTAATTTACTTGCTTGTTGTTGAACTTTTCCTAATACTAAATAGATTTTTTGTAATGCCAAATCAATATCATCTCCATCATTAAATAATTCACTTCCAGTAAAACCAAAATTCAATCCATTAATACTTTTATCATTTCCTAATAACTCTTTAGTACTTTTTGTTTTCTTCTTCAATAATTTCAAGTGATTTAATTTGATGATTTCCACCATTTTTATCATCTAATGCAGATATTGCAAAATACATATGTTTCATTTTCCCTTCATATGTCATTTCACATCCTCCTTTGTCTTTTCCTATTGAAATAATCAATTTATTTGTTTTCTCTTCATACTTTAATTCAAATGAAATACTTTCAAAATTAATAGAATTAGGAAAAGTGCATTGAGTTAATTGTTTTTCTGTATTGTAGATTGTTGTCGTTCCCCTTAATGAATCTGTTGGTACTTTTACATAAATCCCTTCATTTGATTCAGTAAATTTACCTCCAAAATTATTACCTGAAACAATTGGTTTTGTTGTTAACCATAATGCAAATCCTTTTCCAATACCATCTGACTTTATTTTTCCATTAATTTGGAAATAAGTTGGAGGTGTCTGTATCTGTTAGTACTAAATCATTAGTGTAAAGTGTGAAATAACCAAACTTTTATTGTTGAAATAAGTCCATCTTTTTTAGATTCCGTTGTCAATAAAATCCCTTTTGATGTAATTTCTCCATCAACTCGTAATAATGTTTTGATTTTGCCTTCATCAATAGGAGATTTAATACTCAAAAATTGAGATGATACAAGATTAATGAAAAGCAACAACCAGACCATAACAATCATATTTTATTTTCTTTTTTATTTATATTCTTATCTATTGAAAATGTTGTAATAAAATAAAGGAAGTGATGAATAAAATAGAAAGAAAGAGGATAATACAACAATT